CAGGAAAACATGACGAATTGTGAAAACTCTGAATCTACTCTACCTAATCTTTTCACATCTGTTAATGAGGAAGATTCAGATGAAGAAACAGTTATCAACTGTAGTCCAGATGATACTGCTTTCAGTGTTTCCAAAAAGTCTTTCAAAAGAGTTGTAAATTCTGAAACAGACTCTGCAAGTTCTTTAACTCACCAAATCAAACATACCGATGGAACCACTAAACTCAAAAAAAAATTGAATGGAGAAAATTCCTCTTATGAGGATGGTAGTACTTCTATACCAACTGCTTTTCCTACAATGACTTCATCAATTGTTGGAAAAACTAGTCTGGGACAAAAATACTCCAAGAAACAACAAACAAGCAAAAAATCCATTCAAGTCACCAAAACCCCACTAATCAAGACAAACATTTTTGAAAAACAACCAAAGAAACCAGTTAAACCATACGTCATACCTCATAAACAGGTTTCCAAACAAAAACCAAAATCTTTTCAAAAACCTTTTGAAAACCGCTTTCAAGATATTACTTTTAATCATTCAAGGAACTTTCAAAAACCATCACATCAGAAAGTTTCAAACCATCATCATCAAAAAGCTTTTCAAAATCGCCCATCACATCCCAGATATGAAGAAAACTTTTCAAACAAACCTTCACATCTAGGATATCTTTCACCAAATCACAGATCTTATCAACCCACAGGTTTATTGGTTTCTTTTGTTTATTAATTTAAATTATTTGTTTAAATTTAAAAGATAAAAAACATTTCAGTTTTAATAATTCGTTATTTTACTTATTTTCTTATATATTCAAAGTTCTCAATTATTTATACCTTCATATTTAACTTTTTTTTTTTAAATTAACTCATATAATTAATGAGTCTCATAACTAATTAAATGAATAAATATAAAGTAAATTGCAATAAATAATTTTTTTTTATTTTAAAATTTTACTTAAAAAAATTAATTTACACTTGATTTAACCTCACATAGTCACATCTCATAATATTTAAGGAAAATTAAAATAGTAAACGCCTAATTTTCTCGCTCATACTTTGTCAATACTCCCGATAAAAACCACCTGTTTCGAACCCAAATAGCGAAAACCTAAATTTAATATGATCTTACTCCTCTGTTTTTCTTCTTATTCCACCTGTACTCGGTTTTAGAAGTACTCATTGCAACCAAAATGGAGGACGATAGATTGATCGAAAGAGAAGATAACGAAGAAGAGGAAGAAGAAGCCCACGAAGAAGGAGAAGAAGGAGGGGTGTTAATTCCAGTGGAGAGAATCACACCTAGAGGTATACCATCTAAAGATGAGGATTATGAGGACGAAGAAGATTACGAAGAGGAAGAAGAAGGGGAGTTGATTCCGGTGGAGAGAATCATAGGTATATCATCTGAAGATGAGGATTAGAGGAGGAAGAATATTACGAAGACGAAGAAGCATATGAGTTGATTCCGACGGAGATGACTTCACCTAGTGTTTCAAATTCTATTGCCGATAGTAGAACATTTCTAGGGGAAGCGCTAATCAACGATGGCGTGTTGGACGATTTGGAAGACGGAGGAAAGGAAGAGTTGATTAGAGGCGAGATTGACGGTTTATAACCCCCACTATGACTTTCTACTTTAATCCCTAATATTGTATCCACTTCATTCAACTTTGAAAACACAGAGATTTATAGTTTCATTGATACATTTCATATTGATTCCAAATATAAGTATATCATCAATATAGAGGCATAAAATAACACAATCCAGAGGAAATATATTTGTTTGATGAACTATGAGAAAATCAATTTGAAAGTATAACATCAAACTTCTCATGATATTGTTTAGGTGCTTCTTTTATCCCCTCCAAAGTTTTCTTTAGTTTATGTACTTTATTCTCATTGCATGGCAACAAAAAACCCTTTTGTTGCTTCATGTAAACCTTATTATCCAAACCCCTGTTTAATAATATGATTTTTTACATCCATATGATGTATATGAAAATTATGAATTAAATCTAAAGCAATGAGTATTTGAATAGATGTTATTCTAACTAGTTGGGCGAAAGTATCAAAGTAATATACCATTTGTTTTGATTAAAATTCAAAATGATCAATCTTAACTTTAAAAGTTTGTATGAAGCCATTTGTATTTTCCTTAACCATGTACTTGCTTTGGAACCTTGAGGTAAATCTGAGATCTCCCAAGTAGCATCTGATATAAGAGAATCTATTTCGTCATTAATTATCTCCTTCCAAAAAGTAACATTCCTAGAATTTATGCCTTCGTGATAAGTCTTTGGTGCATCTTCTACATGTAGAAGAATAATCAGTTTTATTCAATACTTTGTGATTCCTATCACATTCAACTAATGTGATATTCCAAAAATCCAACCATAAAATTTTAAATTTAAAAAATCAGTGTATATGTTTTTAATAAAAGGTTTCATTTGTATTCATTACCAAATCATGAAATCATCTTTTAATGTCACATTATAATATTCATAATAAAAATGTCGAAGCTAAGTTTTGTTTTAAAAACCATAATTTAACATATAATTATTAAACTAGATGCCATGCCTCTTCGAAAATGTCCAAATATCTCAATCATGACATCTCCTTACCCTCCGAGCTTAAAGGAGACGAAAGAAAAGAAAAAAAATTGATATTCTTTTCTTTTCTCTAGAATTCTTTTCGAATTGGAAGAATAGTTTATAGGAAAAATTAAATTGAATCCTCTTTTCTTTTCTCTTGAATGCTTTAAAGGGAAGAAGACAACCATAATTCGAAATTTGGTCCCTAAAGATTAGCATACCAACGAATTCAACCCTAGACTCAATTTCTTTAACAAATGACTTCTAGAAATTACAATTTAGACCTTGGACTATATATACCATTAATTTAACACTTTTACGTATATATAATGCATTTTATTTAATTAATTCACTTGCCAAACGTAAAAAAACCTTTAATTACATAATTACTCACATTATTTATTAACCTATTTCAAAATAATTAAATAGAAACGAGGCAATACAACTAGGAATACAAGAGATTAATAGTTAATAAAATATATGCTAATATTTTTATCTTTTATGTCTAGAAAACATTTTTTCCAGGTGTATTAGAAGTCTTGGAAAATTGTCTCTTATTACTATCAGGGGCGGAGCCAGTAGGGGGGCTAGTGGGTGCTTTGCTCCCCATAACTCCATTGGTATTAGTGTATTATCAGTTAAAGTTCCCCCTCTATATTTTTACGATGTACGTCTTAACCCCCGCTATTCTAAAATTCTAGCTCTGCCCCTGATTACTATAGTCGATTTCTAGAGTGGGAGTACTTTATGGAACATGAGAGACAACTTGATCCAAGTTTGTTTAATCGTGTCGAAATTTATTCTCAAAAAACTTGACATCTATTGATTCCACCCTAAAAAGAACAAATGAATGGAAGTACATTGCTACTTCTTACATTAAACCCTAAAAAGAACTGTAAATCAACGTATACTGCAACTAATTATATGGTAATATAATTATAAATTAATACAAAATCGACGCTTTACATCATGCCTTGAAAAACGTCATGGCTCATTAAGCTTGAGGCTTGGCTTTGCTGCCACGCCACGCCTCATGCCATTTAGAACCTTGATATTTTGATTGCATTTTCTCACCTAGATTTCACATACGGAAAATTTATATTTTCCATTTTGTAAGCCCTTTTATTTTAAAATTTGGGCTTCCCCTAGATGGATCAAACCATGACTTTCATAAAAAAAATTATGTGAGAAAATACTCTCCACCTCTATCACTTCATGACTCCTTTTACCTTAGACTTAACAATTTGTTTATCCATGTCTGACAAATCTACACGACACAAATTGTAAAGCGCATCAAGATATAAAACACAAATACGACATAAAAATTATTTGTGTAACACGTGACACCACGTGAATATAACACAACTTTAACTATGTTACATGAAAATACAATTTACACAGATCTATCATCTATACATGTAATTATACACGAAAACCCGAACGATATATTTCATAATGTAGCAATGCTATATTTAAAAAAAATATATGTACAAATATTGAAAGCACATTGCTATAGCAAGCTAAAACCAGAAAGTAGCATTCTATATTTCATTAAATTATTCGTGTATACATGTCGTGTCACACAAATATTATCTGTGATTTATACGTGTTTATACATGTTAGTTCTTGTCTAACTTGTGTAAGAAACAAAAATTGAATTTGAAATTCGTGTTGACATGAAACATGAATTTGAAAAAACATACACAAAAAATGCATGTCGTGTTGCCGGCTATTTTATCTTTTTGAGTATCTACTTCAACCTTATATTTATTGAATGAATAAAAAATTATAATAAATATAAAAAAAAAATATTTTTAACAATCCTCAATGAAAGTTCTGAACATGAGGAATTTAGGTTACCATGTTCTACACAAAATAAATGTGAAGACTTGAGGTAGCATGTTATGTATATACTTTGATTAACTTATCGTAACCAACATACTAAGGTCATATTCACAACATTTAGGTACAAATGAGTCAAAGAAAACAGAGTTAATATCATAAAAGTCCTATGTTTTTTGCACTAAAAATGGAAAACGCCCTGAATTTAATTTTTCATTTACTGTGACCACGACATTTTCTTTGAGTTATCGTTTGAGGGCAAAGAGTCGGTCACCAGCAGGTAACCTGTACCATCCGGTCACCACTAAGCTATTCCGTAGCCATCACCTTTCATGAACCATCACTGCTAAAGGGTTTTTCATGCATTCGAGAAGGTTTTGACACCGAGAAGAGTTTCACAGTCCCCAATTTCACAACTTGAAGCTCCGAAATCGTTGGTGAAGTAAGGTTGGAAACAAGGTACGTGTATAGAAACAAGAAATTGATGATTATGAGGGTGGTTATCTTCGTCTATGGAGTTCCAAGTTTGAACTAACAAGTTGTGTGTGTGTGGTTTTTTTTTATGAAACATATGGCTTCTACTTCTGGAACTAAGAAGCCTAAAGGGCCTAAGCTCCCTGAGAAGATATATCTTCCAGACTCTGACTCCGATGAAGATGCATTTGACTTTAGCTTCTTGGATTTTTTTGAAGAAACTTTCAAAGCCCCCTCAAGACTATGTGATGATCAATTTCTTAACTTATTGTGTGATGAAAACGTATTAAGGAGGAGTATTGATGGAATGGTAGATGATGGAGATATTCCTGGTGTCCAACAAAAATAGCATGTCCACTTAGATGAGGGCAATGAAGATGTTGGTATGGAGTATAGGGTGCATGATCTCAATGTTGACTGGAAAGAGATGAGGCCCCGATTAGGAGACTGTTATGAATCCCCTGCTCAACTCAGGTTTGCTTTAACTAACTATGCAGTCCATGGAGGGTACCAACTTTATTTTGAAAAAAGTGATATAGTGAGGGTTATAGCTAAGTGTGATAGTGGAACCAGGGACAACAATGATAATAACAAAATGCAGTGTCCATTTAGGGTTGCAATTGGATGGAAGTACAACAAAAGAACATTCCAGATAAAATTTTGCAATGAAATGCATCTGTGTGCTAGGAATTATCATTTTGGTTCCTTAGTTACTAGCAATTGGTTAGCCAAACACTACCTGAAAGATGTAATCATGAAGCCCAATATGACATTGCTAGAGATGCAAGCAGATGTGCTACAAAGGTTTTCAGTGAGTGTATCTCTTGGGAAATGCCAAAGAGCAAGGGCTACTGCAATGGGGATGATAGAAGGGAAGTTAGAAGACCATTATGCCAAGGTTTGGGACTATGCATCTGCAATTAGGTTGAGTAATCCGGGTACAACTTGCTTGGTGGGGGTAGAAAGTAATCTGGGGTTTAACTAATTCAAAAGGTTTTATGTTGGCTTCAAGGCTTTCAGTGATGGATGGAGCAGAGGATGTAGAAGGGTAATAGGACTAGATGGTAGTCTCTTGAAGGGGCAGGTTAAGGGGGAGATTTTAACTGCTATTGGGAGGGATGCAGACAACCATGTCTACTCAATAGCATCGGCAGTTGTGAATGTTGAGAATAAGGACAACTTGACCTGGTTCATTGATAATTTGGTTGCTGATTTGGATCTTGGTGCTGGCAATAGATTGGTTGTTATCTCAGACAAACACAAGGTACCATAACATATACTGGTATAATATATATATATATATATATATATATATATATATATATATATATATATATATTTGTATGTTACAGTCATTAATATTTACATGTGTTGTGTTGTGTTTGTTTGTTAATTATAGGGACTTTTACAGGTTGTGGCATACCTACTCCCTAATGTTGAGCACAGACAATGTGCTAGACACATCTTTGCAAACTTTAGAAAGAAATTCACAGGATTAGAGCTAAAGAGTTTTTTCTGGGAAGCTATTATGAGTACAGTAGAAGGGGACTTTCTTGCTACAATGGAGAAGATAAAGAAGATAATAGAAACATGATACAATTATCTTATAGCAAGGAACCTGAAACTTGGTGCGGAGCCTTCTTTTCTCATGGGTATGCTTGTGAAGCAGTAGAGAATGGGGTTGCAGAATGCTTCAATGCCATGATCAAACAAATAAGGAAGAAGCCTATAATCACAATGCTTGAGGAAATAAGGATTCTCCTTATGAAAAGGTTTTTTCATCAAGGTCAAGAGGCCACCAAATGGAGGGGTAATTATGGGCCTAACATATAACTGAAGCTTAATGAATTTGAGAAAGATATAAGGTAATATAAGTTTTTATTAGCATGTATCCAAAAATATTAAGTATGTATTTATATGTGTACTTTGTTTGTTTTGTGTGTACGTTGTGGATAGTGGTGCCACGTGGTGGTGATGTGTTTGAGACTAGGTATGGCTACAATGGATACAAGGTTGATTTAGCTAGTCACACTTGCACCTACAACTTGTGGATGTTGTCGGGCATACCATGTGTGCATAGTCAAGCTGCAATCAACTATGTCCACAAAGATCCAAGTGAATTCATTTCTTTTGGTTCCACAAGGACAAATATGTTGCAACCTACAGTCAGAACATACAACCTGTTGGTGGAAGCAACTTGTGGCCAATGACTGAGTTTATTAAACCATTACCATCCATAGTTAGAAGGATGCCTGGAAGACCCAAAGTAAATAGAGTGAAGCATGCATCTGAACCAGAAGATGCCAAATACCCCTCTCAAAGGTTAAAGGTTACTAGGACTGTGAGGTGTGGAAAGTGCCAACAACTTGGGCATAATAAGATTTCATGCACAAATGATGAGGTACCTAAGCCACCTGTCCCAAAAAGGAAGATTGGAAGACATAGGAAAGATAGGGAAGGCCAACCTATCTTTGATCAATTCCCTCCAGTTGAGCCTGCTATACCAAGAAGTGATGTTGCTCCTCCCACAGTTTCAGAATGTGGTGATCAAGTTGGTGGGCCTAATGTACCAAGAACTGATGTTACTCCTCCCCCAGTTTCAGAATCTGGTAATCAAGTAGGTGGTCCTAATGTTAGTCTTTGAAAAGGACTAAGATGATGGCAAGGAGAGGAGGGAAAACTAAAGTGTCTAGATCAAGGAACAAAACACCAAAGAAAACACCTAATGGTAAGAAATATAAGAGTAATGCAAATGAGGATGTATCCCTAACCTGTGATGAGGATTTTGTTGATCTTTTTACTCATGCACCTAATGGTAAGTAGGGTATGAGTCAAGAAACAGAGGATGTTCAGGAACAAGAACATGATGACAATGAGGTGAAGGTGAGTGAAAGACTTACTTTACAGGAGTTGCTGATGTCTGGATATACACATGCTGATGCAGTGGCTGCTATGGAAGAGGTATGTTCTGGTAATCACTATTTTTGGTTTTCATATTGTAGATTTAGTAACTACCCCTCCATATTGTAGGTTTATGGAGAGGTTGAGGAACAACAGATTGAAGAAAAAGAGGTTGAGGAAGGAGTTGAAGATAGAGAGGTTGAAGAAGAAGAAGTTGAAGGCATACAGGTTGAGCAAGAAAAAGTTGAAGGCATAGTGGTTGAGGAAGAAGGAGTTGAGGAAAGTGAGGTTGGAGCAAGAGTCCTACCCTCCAGAAGAAGTTATGGTGCTTACAATTTCCATTGGGAGAAAAAGAGGAAACCCTCTGAAAGAATTGGGAAGTTGAAGCTCAGGAAAATGGTTGAAGATGTTGATGTTGGATATAGTGTCTAAGTCCATAACTTTATTTGGTATGAACTTGACCCAACCCGGCATGGTCCATTTGGGTTGCATGGCATTGCAATACTTGGATAGACTAAATGAGAGAATAAGGCACTTATGATTATTAATATATTATAAGTTCTAATATATTAATAATAGTATTATTTAATTAGTATTTGATCAAATATTAATCTAGAATTAATTTGGTGATCAAAGTGAGACTAATTAAATATATAGGGTTGATTATGACAATCATCAATTCTTTTATGGTGGATTAATGATCCATGGTTTATGGGTTTGGTTATAACCATATGGAGCTCCATGGATGGTCCATGGGAGTTACAAACCCATGGGTCATGAGAAATGAAGAGTCATGACAATTAGGGTTTACATTTGTAACTCCTAATTATGACACACTATAAAAGAAACCCTATAGCATGCAAAATTGGCACTAGAGTATTCTTGTGAGGGCATAGCCGATTTTGGAGTGTAGAAATATTCTCTCTAGTTATTCCAAGGTTGTAGTGTTGTGTGAAGCATTTGAGGCACAACATTTGGGGTGCTAGGCTCACAAAGTCTTGAAGGAATCCAAGCGACAACAAGGTATGTATTTCTACTAGTTCTTTATGTTTTATGTAATCCCCATGCCATGCTAGTTAGGAAATAACCTTGAAAAAGAAATTTGCATGTATATAGAGAAAACATAGATTCAAGGTTATTAGGGTTGCATGTACACTTAGGAAGTGTTAGAATGCTCAAAACCCAACAGTGGTATCAGAGCCTAGGGTTGTTTTCTGTATACTTGATGCAAAACTGCTTAAAAAACGAAAAATCTGCTCATTGACGACTGGACTCGCCGAGTTCATGGGGAGGACTCGCCGAGTCCATGAACAAATTTATCCTACTCGTCGAGTAGGATAATGCACTCGACGAGTAGGTGCGTGTTGGGCAGTCTTTTCGTGTTTTGTTGCTGGAAATGGATTAAAATCATTATCCCAATCTGTTTTGGACTTGTAAAATCTGTTTTTTCAAAATGATAATGATTATGTTAACCCATTTTACATGACTTTTATTAATTTTTAAGTATTGTATATGATTTCTTGAAAATTGCTTGGCATGAATTTGTGTTCTTATGAGTTTTTAGAAGATCATAGGAATTATGTGTAACCTCCATGTGTGTTTAATTCATGATCTTAATGGCAATAATGGTGTCCATAACTTGTCCTCAAGTTATGGATAACCAAAGGTTACTTATTTAATTTGTGTTTAAAGAACTAAAGAGGTTTCATAAAATGAAGAGTCTTCATTTTTATGAACCTTTAAAACTCATAAGTTACAAATTGAAGAGACTTGGAATAGTTTCAATTCTTGCCCTCAAGTTTTGGAATTTGTAAAGTCTTACACTTTAATTCCAAATTTTTTTTAAAGGTTAAAAAAAAATTCAAACTTTATGGACTTCATTAAATTAATTAAAGTGTTTAATTAAAAGAGTTAATAATTCCATAAAGACATGGTTTAAGTTTAATTAAATTAAGAGTATAATTTAATTAATAGATTAAACCACCATGTATTTTAAATGTTTAAAATACACCCTTATACTATTATTATAATTTTATTATATAGATATGTATAAGAATATGTCGTTCTTACCGTTAGTAGGCCTCATTCACGAAGCCGGTCTATAAGGGGGTATAAGGTTGTTGCCTATAAAATGGTGACTTAATGGGTGTCCACTCTCACCCACCGCTTCCTTGATCGGTGGAGGGTCGTTAGCCGAACGGGTAGGATACGACTTTAAATACTCATTAAAAGTATAATGTTATAAAGTAACTATACATTATAAATTCCCAATCTTAGTTACTTTAGGAAAATGTGAAATTGGTGCTAGCCCATAAAATTACACTTTGTACCTTACCAAGTCGTTAGTGGAGCGTGTGTGGTTAACCGGCACACTAACATGGACTAGTAAGAGTGGCAAAGGGTAACTTGACTTTATTATAGATCGGTGGAGCGTGTGTGGTTAACCGGCACATCGATTAGGTAATATTGTTAAGGGTACCAAGTCAATTTGTATGGTTATTCACACCTTGTTTGTGATCCTCGGCATCCCAGTCACAAACTTGAGAGGGCACAATCGAGATTCAAACATGCCATTGAAAGTTCAATGTATCTCAAAAGATCTAGGAGTTTCAAATCCAATTAAAACTTAATTATATTTCGTTTTTCATGGTGGAAATTGGTAAATCGTCATTTACCTACCTTTAACTATTTTATAATTTGGATTACGACATCCCTCTTCCAGTTATAAATAGGTTATTGGGTCCTAGCCTTAATATTTCATATTGGGTGTTATATTAAGGACTTTAAATCAACTAACTTGAATTTCTCCCATTATAGATGTCTAGTTTAGACAGCTATGGTCTTCCCAAATCTTAGGAAGAAGCTTCCTAATGAAGATGATATCCCGAATGGCAATCAAGGTGAAAGATCAATCCCTTTGTTGTGCATTAGTGGGACTGAAAATCATACTTCACTTCCTTCACCTACTCCAATAAATCTCCCTATCCCACAAGTTTCAAGACCTGATAAGTTCTAAGTCACTCAATCCCTATTGGCAAACAAAGTCTATATGTGCTTAGGTCTTGGAGATTAAGTCACATATTGACAAGCCGGGAGAGTCGGGTGTCGAAGTCTCAAGGTAGCTGGCTATTGACTTGGTCACTCCCTGATGACAGATCACGACATGACCCTTAATGATCTTACCTATTTGCTTGATGATGCTGAATCAGCAATGATTTGGAGCATTGGTAAAGCAAAATTTGATTGGAAGATCAACTTCCCAAACTTCCATGGACATTGACAATGGTAACATGGAAGTCCAGAAAACCTTTCTCTTCCCAATTGAAAGGGATTGGCCATAGTCAACTCGGTTGACCAAATGGTAAAGAGAAAGGCTAATTCTGTGATAGTCTCGTATACCGTTTCCAAAGAGTCCATATGTTTTTGTTGCCAAAGGAAGGGCATTGGTTGCGAAGCTGCCAAATTTACCTAAAAGTCCATAAGGATAGTAAAGTCAAATGTTTGACTCTGCTTTAGGTAAAGTCCATTATCTAACTCTATTAAGTTTCTATTCTGAGATTCTTATTGCATGATGTGACTGGGTCACATATTGATGTTTAAGAATCAAAGAAGAGTGAAGAAACTTAAAGAAAGTATATGTTGATTCTGATCGTGAAGATGGATTTCGATCGCATGGTTCGGTGATCAGAATTTTGAGTTGTTACTTAAGAGTTATGATATATTGCTTAGGAATAGATAACAACAAGTTTTTCATATGGATTGTAAGGATAAGTTTTCCGCAAAGTTTTAAAATAAAAGAAAATGGTTTTGATTTTATTTACTTTAAGTATCCTTACAATGGCATTTGTGAAAAAGGTTGTTGCTTATATGTTTCCATTGATAAGCAATATGGGTAAATGGATTTGATTCTTTCATTAGTGGTAGTGTCATAATTTACCAAATAAGGAAAGATTCTCATCACCCAAGTTTCATTTGGATAGAAACTTGGAATCATGCAAGTTGTATTGTGTGATGAATGAGAATTTTCATCTTTGGTAAATTAAGACTAATTCCTTGTTCACATTCGCATGTGATTCAAGCGAAGGACTAACGGATCGGGTACATTAAGTTGTGCACTAGTTAGGTCCACCACAAAGGTAGATAAGATTATTCATTATGATTTACTAAAGTTTAGTAAATATGGTTATGCTTACGAGTTTAAGTGTAATTCTGAAACATTGGAAAAGTTTCAATGTATGGCAGAATGAATAAGAAGAATCAAATAAGGCAGAAAGATAAAAGTTTCTCCAATCTGAAGAGATGGGAGAGTACTTGTGTATTTTGTTTTATGATTATCTTAGTGAATATGAAACCATATCACAATTGATCCTCTAAAGACACCTTAGTTCATTTGTTTGGCTAAGGAGAGGAATCATGAGTTGTTGAAATGGTTAAATCAAAAGATAAATCATACATCAAATCTTAGAGTCATACTCCAAGATTGAGCCATTGAGTGACATAATCTTTAGAAAGTTTATAACACTTATCAAATGTAGAGTAAGATGTGTCATACTCTTGTACATTTGAGGTTGGTTAGTTGTGATGTTTTGGATAAAGCAAAGACCAACTAAGTCCAATTATGGGAAGTGTTTAACTTGATAAGAATCCGCACTAGCTCTTGAATATTTGTATTGTCAAGGAATGGTTCTTGACAAAGATAAGTCTTATATGTCAAGAGGACAGTGGGAGTCTAAAAGATTCTGAAATAGTTTCAAGAACTAATCAAGAGTTTTGTTAATCACTAGCCCACGACTTGAGGTTTGTAACCTATCGTGTTCTTATTTCTATGTCTATTCCAGTTGAAAGTTGATTATGCTTGTGAGTTCTATGAGTTCTCAATTGTTTGCATAACAACCCGGAAGCAATGGTGGGCATTGTGCTACCAGGTGGCAAGAAATTAAGATTGCACAAGTTCAGTCCATATGAATTTGGAAGTGTCACTAACCTAGTCATGTGATTATGGTTTTGACAAAATTCACATGGAAAAGAACACATACACCATAAAATCTAAGTGTCATAAGGTTTCTCTTCGATTCATGAAAATGATGGTAAGGAAACGCTTCCACTAAGAAGATTTTAAGTAGATAGCGGTTGTGATATTTGCATTCTCATATAGTTAGTGGAGCGTGCGTGGTTAACCGGCACACTAACTAGTGAGAATTGCAAAAGGTCTAGACAAACATGTGAGCTATCTAAGGAAAGGTGTATGTTTTTGATAAATTCTTATCAAAGCAATCTAGTATCAGAAATATGAACTTTGGTAAGAAAGTCAATAAAGTATTGATTTCTAGAAGTCCAGTTGATTTCTGAGTACATGTCAAAGCTAGTGGGAGCATAAAGTGTTATGCTGGTAATCATTATGCTAGTGGGAGCATGATGATTATGTTAAGTATTGCAAGTTAGCAATGTTATTTATAGAAAACAAAAGTTTCAAGTTGCTTTGAAAGTTGTTTTGCTATAATTAAGGGAGAGGATTCTATACTTCACTCCAATTCTACAAGCTTAGATTGAGAATTTAATCTACTTTAGTCAAGAATATATATGAATGTTATGCTGGAATGGTTCAACATAAGGAAATTCTATATATGTTGCGTTCTCAAAATTCGATTATGATTACGGCATCCCTCTTCATAGTTCGAATTTTGAGAACATGGCAAATAAAAATTTTATAGCATAAATCATGTCCCATATGCTTTGGGTATAGGTTTGATTATATGTGCTATAATATTCATCCATTCTAAATTTTCCAAATGCCTAGGGCATTAAGATGGAAAAAGGAATAGAACTGGAAATGACTAAAGTGATTAAGCAAAATTGTCAAGGACAATCTGAGGTTTACCAAAGATTGGTTGCTCATGGACAATTAGAAGTATAGAGTAAGGACCATATTGACATATTTTGAAAAGGCAACTCTTGTTCAGAAGTGATAGTCAAAATGGTAATATGGAATTGTTCCATAGGTGGAAGTTATTCTTTAAATCTGTGTAAGATTAAAGAACTTAATGCTAAGAAGGATGTTCAAAGGAATGTACTTTGAATTTGAGACTTCATTTCCATGAAATTGTTTCCCATTGGAATACTTTGTAATGTATGTTGCCAAGTCTCTGTGACTTCTGTGCATAGTCGTTACAAGGGGATCATTGCATATAAGTTTAGAATCTAACAGATTACAGTAAATGGCAAGAGTTTGGTATTCTTGCATTTACAACAAGGATTGGAATTGTGAAATGAGCATCATTGGAATATTGACAATTGATCTATTTCACAAAGAGAGGACCATATGTAAACATAGTATGCATACTTGGAGTATGGCATAATTGTTGTTTGGAAAAACATAGTGTACGTGCTTGGAGCATGGGACAACTAATGTTTTAATTCAAGCATAAAGTTGATTAATCGAAACATAAATAATGAGTAATCAATATGGTGCTTAGATAAAAGTTGTTTTATTTACACCCAAGTGTTGGGGCCATATAGGATTAAGTATTATTCTTGTGTTTCACTTTGCATGTTTTGACTTCCAGAATAAATATGTTATGGAATATATCATATTATTCAAACCATCCACAGTCAGTCATATGTTGGAAGTAGATATGAATCAAGACTGTCATGAATTTGGCTTGTATGATTTGTCTAAAGTGCTTTAGACAATGCAATGGTTGCTACAACATTCATGAGTACTCATAAGGGCTGAGTATTGGATTCAACCCACGCTCACTTGCATCACTTCATGGAATTTATCTCGAGTGATCGTGAGACGGTAATATCATATAAATCTTCAAACCTAGAGATATGAGTTGTTGACTATGAGTTGGTTATTCATTGATTGTACGAAAATGCATTGGTAAAACATGCCTTTGTGAATAATTCAACAAGTAGTTAGTACAAGCATATCAGTCGAAGTTTATCTGTTCCTTCTAGAAATAGAAGCGATATCTGGGCCCCTCGATGATTTGGTTTTGACCTATGTACCGGGCCCGGTCAGAACCTAATTGATGTGTTCAATTTAGTTCTATGTCGAAACAAATCGGAGATCGAGAAACAAATGTTGGACAATAAGTAAGACCATGTTCCATGTGTTTGTCCGGCTGATATCATGAGAACAGAGGATTATATGATCACTTATCTTAAATGGCGTATCATCATCATCTCAGTTCCGAGAGACTTTGAAAGAGCTACGATTGCTAGTCGGATTTTGAAGTCGTATTTGCAAATATAGTTATTAGACTTATCCAAGTGGGAGACTGTTGGATATAGTGTCTAAGTCCATAACTTTATTTGGTATGAACTTGACCCGACCCGGCATGGTCCATTTGGGTTGCATGGCATTGCAATACTTGGATAGACTAAATGAGAGAATAAGGCACTTATGATTATTAATATATTATAAGTTCTAATATATTAATAATAGTATTATTTAATTAGTATTTGATCAAGTATTAATCTAGAATTAATTTGGTGATCAAAGTGAGACTAATTAAATATATAGGGTTGATTATGACAATCATCAATTTTTTATGGTGGATTAATGATCCATGGTTTATGGGTTTGGTTATAACCATATGGAGCTCCATGGATAGTCCATGGGAGTTACAAACCCATGGGTCATGAGAAATGAAGAGTCATGACAATTAGGGTTTACATTTGTAACTCCTAATTATGACACACTATAAAAGAAACCCTATAGCATGCAAAATTGGCACTAGAGTATTCTTGTGAGGGCATAGCCGATTTTGGAGTGTAGAAATATTCTCTCTAGTTATTCCAAGGTTGTAGTGTTGTGTGAAGCATTTGAGGCACAACATTTGGGGTGCTAGGCTCACAAAGTCTTGAAGGAATCCAAGCGACAACAAGGTATGTATTTCTACTAGTTCTTTATGTTTTATGTAATCCCCATGCCATGCTAGTTAGGAAATAACCTTGAAAAAGAAATTTGCATGTATATAGAGAAAACATAGATTCAAGGTTATTAGGGTTGCATGTACACTTAGGAAGTGTTAGAATGCTCAAAACCCAACAGTTGATGGTGGTGGTTCCTCCAAAACCCCTTGGGTTTTAGAGTCAGGAGTTGTGTTTAAGGGTTCAATGGGTAGAATGGGAATTGTTAAATAGGTTGCCCTTTTTGTAAACATCTACTTTTTGTGTTTAAGGGTTCAATGGGTAGAATGGGCATTAGTAAATAGGTTGCCCTTTTTGTAAACATCTACTTTTGGTACACTTGTCTTTTGGTAACAAGCTTCCAATTCATATCCATAATGTTTGGTAGAATTGGAAGTTTGGTTCTAATTAGGTTAAATGGTATGATAGTGGTTTTTGGGAAGCATTGTAAAGTACATTCCCTTTTTTGGGCTGTTAACTGATATTGATATTTGGTATGATTGTTAAGTTATCAATATATATATATATATATATATATATATATATATATATATATATATATATATATATATATATATATATGCCTTGATCACTATAATTGTTGTTACCTTCCATATTTTGGTTAGCTTGGTAAGTAGGTTTATACATATGTATGTGTTAAAGGACTTAATACATTGTTATCATTAAGACATAATAAGTTGTTGTCATTGTTATCTCTTACAAAACCAAAAAATTGCCATACATAACACATGCATCTACTTACTGCCTAACTTGACCAAAATACCCTTACACCTAAACTACTACTACCATTCCACCTGAACCGATCAACCGAACTAATGCCCACAACTTCACAATGCTTTAACCATAACAATTGTGAACCATAAACCCCATCACTATCACCACCACCAAAAGCATGACCATCATAAGTAGCTCCACCTTCAACAGGTTAAAAATATCCAGTTGAACTTCTTTCTTGTTCTTGGCCTCCTCCGAAAGCTTCAAAACCTCCATTGCAAATGCTTTATTGTTGTTAGCCTCCTCCAAATCCATATGGAACTTCCACATAGTTTCCTTGTAGTAAGTGTTTGGCAAGGGTGGATCAAGCCATAAAAAAAGCCGCATTTTTTTGGAGTCCTGCACAACAATCATTTGTTCATAATGGTTCAATAAGACCACAAAAAATTACTTAATATTACCTGCACGCCCTGAATTCCCTCCATGGATTATCGACAGTTTTGGAGATCGAGAATGTCGTAGGTTCATCACAATCGCATCTCAAATCTTCAGTGTAACACCCATAATCAAAAAGACCAAGAAAGGAAAGAAAACCCTAAGTTAAAGGTCCAACTCGTCGAGTCCAAGGAGGAACTCGGCGAGTCCGAGCGGGATCCGGGTCGAGGAGTAAGTGACCGACTCAACGAGTCGGAGAATGGACTCGGCGAGTCTAGTCTGAAGAGGGAAACCCTAAATTCGGGACTTTATGCACTATTTAAGCACCTCATTCTCTTCCTTAGGGTTCCTTTACACCTCTTCTCATCCAGAACATCGAACCCTAGCCACCATACCCATTTTTGAGCAAGATCTAGCCTTGATGTTGTGATTTGAATCTTTGAAGAGAAGGAAGTTCATAGTGGTGAAAGAGGAAGCCTAGGATCCAGAGTTTGGGTGACTTTTCAGAGCATTTGAAGGTAAGAAGTCATTACCTTCACTCCTTTGCTCATAGTTTCCTTTTTGTTATGTGATTTAGGGCTTTTATGCCATATCATAGAGCTAATTAGAGTTAGAAGTCCAGATTTGAAGTTGCTACTTCAGATCTAAGAGTATTTTGGCCTAGAGAGTCATCAAGTATCAACCTTGGGGGTGTAGGTGAAGCATGGTTGTCTTAAACCCGAGTATGGAGTGTTTTGGGCCTAGATCTCCTTAGCTACATGTAAAGTTTGCAACTTTACGTGAGGAATAGGCCTTGTAAGAGTGGATCTACAGTTTGGAGTCCCTGCATGATTCAAAAAGCCTCTGAATGCATGAAGGACTGAATAGACTCGACGAGTCCTTCGAGTGGACTCGGCGAGTAGTATGAAGATTAGGAGGAACTCGACGAGTTGGATGAACAACTCGACGAGTCTGTTGAAGTTTTCCTTGGACTCGGCGAATCTGTTCTGGGACTCGGCGATTCAGGTCGTGAAACCCCGAACCCTTCGAGTTAAGACTCGAATCAGTGAGACGAGTGGAGACTCAGTGAGTTGGACAGGACATGACTCGGAAATTGGTGGACTCGGCAAGTCATCGTTTGACTCGGCGAGTCGAATCGCGAATGGAAGTACTCTGAGCATATGAACTCAGCGAGTCAGTAGGCAGACTCGGCGAGTAGGGTTGACCTGGAAGGTTGACTTTGACCAAGACTTTGACTTTGACTAGAATTGACTTAGTTGACTTTCGGGGGACAGTTAGACTAAGTGTTGCATTGGTATTGGTAGCTCGGGGAGTTAGTGGAGCAGGAGTTTAGAGAGTTGTCGGGCAGCAGCTAGAGGGGTTATCAGCAAGTTCAACAAGTGCAGGTGAGTTTTCCCTTTGTGTGAATGGGTCTAAGACCACAATGCCGACCCATGTAGTTATGAGTAGAAGACCTGGGGGTTAGCCCTAGGCTCAATATGCTAGTATGATATTCAGGACGAGGTCTAATGATAGCAGGCGGGTGCCCAAGGAATGGTTTATATGATAGTTTATACTTGTTGTCTGTGTGATACTTGTATGTGCCTGGTAGGGAGGTGAGTGTGGGCAAGGTCGCGTATCTCACCAATAGTAGAGTGTGGATGTTGATCCACATCTCATTAGCAGCAGAACATGGGCGAGGCCCAAGTTAGGGAAAGAATGAGTGTGGGCTGGGCCCGTATCTCACTATCAGTAGAAGCATGAACGGGGTTCCATGACTCATCAGTAGCAGGACAAGGGCGAGGCCCAGAATAGGCGAGGCTTTAGGACAAGATCCATTAGTATATGTTTAGCTTATGTGTTGTGATATGTTTATGTGCTATTATATGTTAGCGGGCGAGGCCCAGTGACAGGCGACGCCTAAGTGAAACAGATCTGTGTCCGAGTGGGGCTCGAAGCCAGGCGGGGCTTGGAGCGGTGGGGCCGTTGTAGCGGGCGAGGCCCGAGGTAAGGGGGCGAGGCCCAGAATAGCGGTCGTGACCCAGTATGTGCAGTATGTGGTTATGCATGGTATGTGGTAGGTTGGGGAACTCACTAAGCTTCATGCTTACGGTTTTCAGCTTTGGTTACAGGTTCTTCCGGAAGCGGAGGGAAGAGCTCGGGGTGATTGCATGGCATACACCATAGATTAGACAGCCTAAGAATGTTTTACTCTGATAATGAACATATGTTTTGGAAATTAATACTCTGATTATGTTATGGATTGATAATTATGTTTTAAGTAATGTTTTATGAAAGAAATTTCCAGTCTTGAATTTTGGGACGTTACATTCAAACAACGATTCCTTAAAGCCCACTCTTTATAACTTTGCGTGTGCGTGTTGGAGGAGCTTACCATCTTTTTGGTTTGAAGTTGGAGAACAAAATCGACCTAAAACTACTTACAACGTTCGACTAAGGGAGCAACCTGCTGAACCCAACTCTTTGCCCTCAAACGACAATTCAAAGAAAATATCGTGGTCACAGTAAATGAAAAATTAAATTTAGGGTTTTTTTTCCAATTTAGTGCAAAAAAACATGGAACTTTTGTGATATTAACCCAAGAAAACATATGCAAAAATGCAATTTGCATATAACATATATAAGCATGACCTTAATTTGCATATAACATAGATGTCACCTTATGTAGTTGCAATTTTTGATGCTTTTACAAACTACAAACGTTTTTCTCTTAGTAGTATTGTTATAATTATAATTTATAGCCCTTCGATTAATGATGAAAAAAGGATTAACTGTAAATAAGATAAAAAATGCAACAAAAATAAACTTTAATGATTACAATTTTATAACAAATGGAACATTTGGGCAAATTTCATAATTTTTGAAATAACACAATATGATATTTGTAATTTATTTTAGCAAAAAGATACTTTATCAAATATTAAACATTAATAATTTAATCCACACAAAATTGACGGAACTGGTTTTTCTTCATCGTATTTACGGGGACAGAGGTAAAAGAATTTCTAAGAAATTCCCAATAAGGATTCCAAAGGCAAAACCCCAAATTATAGGAAGGGATTTGCGTGTAAAATCCTCTTCGTCTTCTCTAATTTCGTCAAAATACTCGCTCCTCACTGTTCACTTCTTCTCCATTCATCTCAGAACCCCCAAATTTCTTCATTATTTACAGATTCAAATCCTTCGGGAGGTCCCTAATTCCTTAAAGACTATGCCCATCAACTGTTCGCATACGTTCCTGTTGCTGAGTTAGGGCTTGTGTACGTGTAGATCGTTTAACGGCATCTTAATTTTGTCCCCAAAAGGCCTGGATTTTTCGAATTACTTGTAAGCCTCTGTTTCAGGTTATGTATCTATTTATCTTTAGATCCATAGATTTATTTCATCGTAATCTAAGTCAAAACAACTAGCATTTCGATTGCGGGGCTACTGGTTTTTCACCTATACCTCTGATCCACTAGTCTGATCGACTCCAATCGCATAATTGGTTAAGCTTTCATTGGATACAAGGATAAATGAACTAGGAGAAAGAAAGACTAGGATTGCGGGGCTACTAGTTCTCCAAACCTTCTCATTTCTTCGTTTTTTTTTTTTTTTTTTCAGATGTTGATCTGAACCCAAATCATTGGCAAAGAACTAGCACTTGTGTGAGTTTTATAGTGTACAAGTGTGTATAGAATAATGAAAGGAGGCTACTTCTATGAAAGGAGAACGAAACAACTCTCCCTCTTCTTCATCGGTGTTGTCTTTACCACCATTGTTGTTTGGTCTTGGGAGAAAACCCCTCTTCTCACAACTTTACTTCCATCTCATAGTCAAGTGATGCAGCTTTTTCCAGGTTTGCCTTGATATCCATCTCACATTCTTCAGCTCCTTTTGTCTCCTTTAATTACTGATGGCATTAGGTTAGAATGTGCAGATCAAATAGAAACTTACAAGACATAAAACATCTGCCACAAATTGCAAATTAGTTAAAAACCATTGAAAGTCTTATAAAATACTGTGGTCATCTTTTCATTAGATAACTGTGGAACTTTATTGTGATGGCAGCTGGTGGAGTAAAAGTGAAGCAACCTACTCAATCAAAAGATGATTTCAGAGAAGTAGAAGTAGTTGCAAATGTAACATATCCAATAAACGCACCCTCCATTTTAGGGGAGGAAGGATTGGTGGATTCAATATCACCATCAACATCAAGTCCCATAAACACCCCCTCTTTGGACATTCATGAGGGTGAATCCTCAAGTACCTCTCAAGAAAATCACCAGGGTAGAAAATTTTCTTGTATGTTATTGTTTATTCATTTCTCTCTTACATTCTCACTAGACATTTTCTTGATTTTCACTCACTCCTGTCATGTTAATGCAGAAAGTACAACAAACATTATTGAAAAACCTGTTTCTAGTGAAGTATCTGAAAAATCCATCAACTCAATCTCAAATCCACCAAAACAACAGTTACTTGAACCAGTCTCTTCAGAAGTGGAAACAGAAGACAATGGTGCCCCTATGGCAAATGTGGAAAAACAAGGTGCTTTTTACTTTTTAGTTTTCAGTTTTCACTTTCTTTTAACTTTTACAATTCAAAACTTGATGAAAACACACAATACAACAAACCCAAAATCAAAACCAAAATCACTTATAACTTTTTCTTCATCTTCTTTAATTCCAGCCTGCAACTTTGGTAAAGGAAAATGGGTGATTGACAACAATCGCCCTTTATATTCTGGTTTTGGCTGTAAACAATGGTTATCAGGAATGTGGGCATGTCGTTTGACTCAAAGAACAGATTTTGGATATGAAAAATTAAAATGGCAACCAAAAGATTGCAAAATGGATGATTTCAACGCCCTTCAATTCCTCAAAAGGTTTGTCTTTTGTTAATAAAAGATTCTTTAAATATAAAGAAAAAGAAACAATCTTTGAATGATTTTCTTAATGTATTATTATATTTCAGATTGCAGCACAAAACCCTAGCTTTTATTGGTGATTCTTTAGGGCGACAACAATTCCAATCCCTAATGTGCATACTCACAGGTGGTGAAGAGAGATATGATGTTGAAGATGTTGGTAAAAAATACGGGTTAGTCAAAGCCCGCGGGTCGGTTCGACCCGACGGGTGGGCCTACCGGTTCCGACCCACGAACACCACAATCCTCTACTATTGGTCCGCGAGTCTTTGTGATTTGGACCCGATTGACCCGGGAAACCGGTCCACTTCCTTTGCTATGCATCTCGATAGACCCCCGGCTTTTTTAAAACGTTTTATTTCTGGATTTCATGTTGTTGTTTTGAACACTGGGCATCATTGGAATAGAGGGAAGGTTAATGCTAACAAATGGGTTATGTATGTTAATGGGACACGTGTCACTAATAGGAGGTTGTTAAATATAGAAAGTGCTAAAAACTTAACAGTTTATAGTATTGTAAGATGGGTGGATGGTGAGTTAGGTAAGTACCCGGGGTTGAAGGCGTTTTTTAGGTCGATTTCCCCGAGGCATTTTTTTAATGGAGATTGGAACACTGGGGGGACATGTGACAAAACTACCCCTGGAAAATTGGAGGTTTTACAAGAGGTGTCTAGTGATTTGTTGGCGTCAGGGGCAGTGAAAGGGACAAATGTGAAGCTTTTGGATGTAACTGCATTGTCTGAGGTGAGAGAAGAAGGTCATATATCGAGATATAGCATTAAAGCTACTCCAGGGATGCAAGATTGTTTACATTGGTGCTTACCTGGCATTCCTGACACGTGGAATGAACTTCTTTTTGCTCAGATTTAGGGTACATTTAGATTCTTGTTTTTGTTATGGTATCCTTAGCTTCTTGTGTTTTTTGGGTACAAAAGAGGGAAGAAGTAGAAACCTTGTTGTGAGATGTGTAGTATGTAGTTTGTTTGTACGAAATTACAGATATTTACTTAATGAGTTAATATATAATGTAACACTTGCAATATATAATAAGTTTTTGGTTTATTAGTTAATAAATAAGTTGGCTTAAGTTCAGGTGTTCTCATGTTGAGATAATTACAAGTTTTATTTGAATTAAAATAATCACAAAGTAGTATTATTTAACATCTACACAATGCATTGATCTCTTAAACTCAACTTGAAGTTAAAGTGGATGCAACGCAAGCGCATTGACGCCGCGGTCATTACATACTCTTTGGGTAGTATGAAAGTTTGGGAAAATGAAATTGTAGCCCTACAATGCATTCTGTGTAGAACTTCAATCTCTTAAACATTTATTTGTAACCATAGTTGTATAGCTTGTACATTTTACAAAAATCTTCAGAAAAAAGAGAGAAGTTATGAGGTACCTGAAACATAACCCAAAACTGTAAGCCAAAGCTTAGTGAATTTCCCCCATAATACCAACACAACACATAATCATAACAATAACAACAAACAACATGCATACAGATCCTTCAGTCTGACTGGAATGCCCCACGACCTACAATTTACCTAGTATGCTCACATAACCTACAACATGACTGGTACACCACACAGGGCCTTCAGCCTATCTGGAACGTTCTACGGGCCTTCGGTCTGATTGGTACGCCCCACTGACCTTCAGTCTCTCCAGGACGCCATGGGTTTGTTAGCCTTCAGCACAAAGCAGGACCGCCTCAACCCAACCACACATAAACCGTGTCGACACACATATATAACCGACAAGCATACAAATAACCAGCTAATGACAAACAGATAAATATTACAGATCACTAAGCTTAGCATCATCCTATCTACCAGGATATATATCTAACATACCACTATAGTACACAATCATACGATAAACCAGGATAACAATCCAAAGGGCCAACCTTGGTGCCTTCGACCCATAAGCACAGTGAGGAAAACTCACCTCGCAAACTGAATAGAAATGATAAGGTCCGACTCTGAATATCAGCTCTCTAACCGATACCGAATTCCATCAAATGACCAATTCCATCAAAATCCCAAAATACCCACAAGGTCAAACTTGGTCAAATTCCATTGGTCAAACCCGCTAAGCCAAATGAGTCAACCCAGCCGAGTCAACTCAACCCAATCAACTCGAAAAAGTTGAACCATACGAGTACGAGAGTCGTACCCCGGAGGTACGCTTAGCATACGCGAAGCCTCGTATTGACCACCATCGAGGTGGTTGATCAAGTACTTGGGGCGTACTCCCACTTACGTAGGGTGTAACCTCGCAACCCCAAAAACTTCATTAAGTGCTTAATGGCTTAAGCACTCAATCCCATGCTTCATATCCATTATCCAAATGCACCTTAGAGTCAGAAAGTTTCCAACTTTTTGACTTTCCATGCCTAAGAAGAGCTTAACACAAGGTATTAATCCATTAAGACCTCCTATAAGATCCATGGAGCAAAACTAACTAAAGAGACTTCATTTTTATGGCTAAGGACCGCCCCTCCTAGGGTCTGAAAGGACAACTCGAAGCGTCCAAAACATGTCATACTCAAGATGAGACTTTTGAGACCAAAAAGATGACATAAAACCTCCATAACTAGATCTACAAGATTAACAGACAAAGGTGCAAGCTTTATACCTTCAAAGTCTTTCAAATGAAGGATGAATCCCATATCTAAGGTACTTTTTTCTCCAAGTTGAGCTTGATCTTCTTCTTTCCTATTCAAATCACACAAACACACTCTTTAATGCTTGAAATTTCCTCACAATGTGCTTTTAGGGTTTCAAATAAAGAAGAGAGGGCAGAGGATGGTTAGGTGAAGAGAAATGAGGTCGATAAGATACTTAAATACCACCTAAACCCTAAAAATTAGGGTTTCCATCTTTCTTTAGTATGACCCGCATACATGAGTGTACGCCCTGTATACTAGGGTGCGCCTTAGTACGCTCAGCATACACACATGTACGCTTAGCATACTTCTCCTGCCCAAAATTACGAGAATGCCACTAGGGCTTCAAGGCACAATCTCTTGGACTTAAGTACCAAAATGTCATATAATAAACTTAAAGGGATAAATTTAGAAGTATCTGAACATCAAGATGTTACATAAATCTATGAAAACTAAAAACGAATAGGAAAAAAAAAATAATGCATCAATCAAATCCATCGGTTTTTTCCTTCTTGTCAAAACTAAAAACTACATAATCCATCTAATCACGTAACAGATTATGATTTTGAAGGTAATTGTGAAACAAATAGGAAAAAAGCAATGCATCAATCAAATGCTTCAGATTTTTTTTTTTTTTTTTTTTTTTTTTTTTTTTTTTAATTTTACTTCAAATTATTAAGTTTTTAGTTTTTGTAATCGAACAATGATTTAGTAATTAGTTTGTTGGTTCGCGCCTTTAATGGAGTTTTCCATTGATCTTGCATCCTCCTCCTCCTCCTCTCTCTCTCTCTCTCTCTCTCTCTCTCTCTATATATATATATATATATATATATATTATTATATATATATATATATATATATATATATATATATATTATACAAACATTAAATAAAGTGAAAACGTAATAACAATATTTTTTTTGTTATTATTCTGCTTTGATTTTGTATGTTTAGTATTATAGTGAATTCAAATACAAATATTAACATATAATTATTTATATACTCATTTTTATGTTATTATTATAATATAAATTATGTATACACTAGAATTATAGTAAAATCTAATGTGAATATTAATGTATGCTTATTTAAATATTTATTATTTAATAATAACATAAAGTATATATACAAAATTCATAAAAGAATAATAATTTAAAAATAATGTTCTTATTCATTCATTCATATATATATATATATATATATATATAATATATATATATATATATA